CGAAGAACGGCGTTGTTTAACTATTTGTTTGCGAGACGACACGGAGGGGAATTCGTGCTCCGGGTGGAGGACACGGACACGGCGAGATCGACGCGCGCGAGCGAGGAGAGCATGGTGGAAGATTTGCGTTGGCTTGGATTGGATTGGGACGAGGGACCCGATATCGGTGGTCCGTGTGGGCCGTACAGGCAGAGCGAACGGGGGGAGATTTATAAAGAGCTCGCGGATAAGCTCGTGAAGAGCGGACACGTGTACAAGTGCTTCTGCACGGATGAAGAACTCGAGGCCATGAAGGCGAAGGCGGAGGCGGAAAAACTCCCACCCAAGTATATGGGTAAGTGGGCGACGGCGAGCGAGGCGGAGGTGCAAGAAATGCTCGATAAGGGGGTGCCGTACACGTATCGATTCCGCGTGCCAGAGGGCGAGCGCATCGAAATCGACGACTTGGTGCGAGGCAAGGTTGGCTGGGACACGGACACGCTCGGTGATTTTGTTTTGCTGCGCTCAAACGGGATGCCGGTGTACAACTTCTGCGTCGCCGTGGACGACGCGACGATGGGGATCACGCACGTCTTGCGCGCGGAGGAGCACTTGCCGAACACGCTTCGCCAGGCGCTCGTGTACAACGCGCTCGGCTTCAAGCTCCCCAAGTTTGCGCACATGTCCCTGATCCTCGCCCCGGACCGCTCCAAGCTCTCGAAGCGACACGGGGCGACGTCCGTGGGGCAGTTCAAGGAGGAGGGGTACCTGAGCAAGACGATGGTCAACTACCTCTCTTTGTTGGGATGGAACGACGGCACCGAGCAAGAAATTTACGACGTCTCCGAACTCGAAAAGCTCTTTAGCGTCGAGCGTATCAACAAGTCCCCGGCTGTGTTCGACAAGGTGAAGCTCAACTGGATGAACGGTCAGCACCTTCGTGCGCTGGGTGATGACGAGTTCGAATCGCTCATCGGCGAGGCGCTCGTCAAGGCGGGCACCATCAAGGAGGGCTCCGACGCGGCGCTCAAGGTGATCATTCCGATGATCAAGGAATCCGTCGAACTCGTTCAAGACGCCATCCCGCAAGTCGAAGATGTCTTCAGCTACCCGTTGAAGGAAAACATGGGCGATGATGCGATGAGAAAGGTGCTCGAAGATGATTTTGAACCCATCGTCGACGCCATCGTCAAGGCGCACGAGAGCGGCGAACTCGCCACGGCTGTCAAGGAAGGCAAGGTGAAGAACTTCATCAACGCCACAGGTAAGGCTCTCGAACGCAAGGGTAAACGTTTGTTTATGCCCTTCCGCATCGCCCTCACTGGTCGCATGCAAGGTCCAGAGGTCGGCGATGTGCTCTCGCTCCTCGACGCCGCGGCTGGTTGCTCTGATAAGATGGTCAACCTGGACGAGCGCGTCGCCACGCTCAAGGCGGCTTTCCCGGCGGTTGTTGCAAAGTAAAGATCATGGCAATATCTCACGTTTAATCAAATCCAAGTTAATCGTTAGAATACTCGGGAGGGACGCTCATTTTACATGTCAGGCTTGTCAACGAAGTTACAAATGCGCCACGAGTCTCGCGTTATGATGCATGCGAACGCGCGTACTCAATTCGTCTCATTTTTGTTCTCATTTTTATTCTTCTTCTTCATTTTGTCATCGTCATCAGCAGAATCGCTGGAAACCAGATCGGTACTGACCGGGACGACGACAGTCTTCTTGGGGTAGCTCTTTGGCTCGGACAGCTTGTCCGTGACGCTTGACACGGCGCTGATGACACCGTCGAAGAACGCGGGGATATCGATGCCCGTACCGTTGGCAAACTGATCCAGCGTGTTTCTAAACTCATTTCGGCTTTCTTCGAAGAGCAGATAGTTGTAGGTGAAATAGAGCGTGTACGCGATGCCGATACTCTCCAGCGCGACGTCCGCGACACCCGGAAGGATTGCCACCGACAGGAGGAAACTGCCGGCGATGATGGCGATGAAACCGAGATTGGCTGTCTCCTCGAGTGATCTCGAAGAGGAGGACGACACGGGTCTTGTCTTCGCCACTGCCGGCTTGAACGCGGGCTTCTTGTTGTAAACCATCATCGGCTTCGCCTTCGGCTTGGTCGACAGCAACGGCTTCTTCACCATCGGCTTCTTCGCCATCGGCTTCTTCGCCATCGGCTTCTTCACCAATGGCTTCTTCACCAATGGCTTCTTCACCGTCGGCTTGGTCGTCCCGAACGAGAAGAGCCCCGACTTGGCCGCCGCGTTCTTCTTCGCCGTCGACGGCTTCGCCTTTGGCTTCGCCTTCGGGCGCGACCCCGACAGCTTCTGCACGTCGTACACCGGGTACACGCGCTTAGACCCAGCCTTTTGGAACTCCTTCACCCCCCGCGCGTTCTTCTCCGCGTACCCAGAGTTAAAGTTAAAAAACGCCCGCGTCTGCGCCAGAGAATTCACGATAATCCACGCGTCAGTCGCGCGTTCACAATCATCCCATCCTCGCGCGCGCGCCCCCACCCCCATCCCCCGCGCCGGCACCGACGCGCCGCATCACCCACGCGCGCGCGCGCGCCGTCGCCGTCATCGCCATCGCCGTCGCGTCGCCGTCGTCGTCATCGCACCTCGGTCACCACGCGTCCGACGACCGGTCGCATCGTCGCCCCGATGCCCCGCACCGATGTCCCACCCACGGCCCGTCGCGCCGCGAGCGCGCGGTGCGCCCCCACGCCCGTCGTCGTCGTCGTCGTCGTCGTCGTCGCGCGCATCGTGCACGATCGCGCGCGCGCGCGTGGACGCTCGAACCGCACGCGGGGCCGATGGCGTATCCCGCACACGCGGGTCTTCGACCCCCGTCGAGATTCCCCCGCGGGGTCGCGTCCGCGCGCGGTGGGTGCGCGCGCGGACGTCATAGTGTGCCTCGGATATCGCGATGTACGGGTGAAACAACATCCATGGGGGCGCGGCGACCGCCCGTGCACGCGCGGGTGTGAGTACATAGGGGTACGACGCGTCGTATACGTGCGGCGTCCACGACCGGCGTCCACGACCGGACCCTGATTGTGTGGGAATCGCCCGTGGATGTGAAAATACCCTAACGAGGGGAACGCGACGCCGACGCCGACGACGACGCCGACGACGACGACGGCGGCGGCGAGGGTCGGGAGAGGACGACGCGACGGTGATGGCGAAAAAATCATCCAAGAAGACGTCGTCGACCGCGGTGCTCATGCCCACGGTGGACGCGCGCGCGCGGTCGACGGTGGGTTGAATCGACGGGAATTCCGGACATCGCGCGCGACGCGTTGGGACGGGGCGACGGGCGCGCGCGGCGACGGTGGACGACTGACGACGACGGCGCGCGTAGAATAGGAAAAAGGGGCGAAAGGGGTACAGAATGTGGACGGATGATGAGAAGGACGCGCTCGCGGTCGGGGTGGCAAAGTATGGATTGGGGAATTGGATGGCGATGAAGAAGGATCCGCTGCTCGGGCCGAAATTGGCGTCTCGGACGAACATCGATTTGAAGGATAAGTGGCGTCAGAGCACGACGCCGACGAAGAGTGGGTTGACGCGCACGCAGCCGTTGTCCCCGAGGGCGTTCGCGGTGGTGGAGGACATCCAGGCGAACGGCGGACGACAGGTGAGCGGAGTCGAGTTCGACCGACACCTCTCGCCGGTTCGCGTCGTGGAAAAGTCGCCGTTCGGGAGCACCGCGAACCCGAATGAAGAAATGGTGGCGAGTCCGAGACCGATGCGTTTGGGATTCAACACCCCGCCGGGATCGCCGCGCGCCCCTTCGAGTCAGTACACGCCTCGACAGTACTCGCCAGAACCCGAGGACGACGAAATGCCCGAACACGCGTACCGATCCCGCGACCGAGCGCCGCCCTTGAACGCAGAGATGAAACAACAAAGCTGCAGCATCATGTGATGGTCTATGGAAGAGTTATATTAGCTCATAACTATCTGTACATGTGTCAATAAAATGTTCACTACGTGGCTCAATCGTGGCTCGATGTCATCTCGAACCATTGACGCAACAGATCGCTAATCGTCGCGGGTAACTGCGACACATCCTGGACCAGGACGTAAAATGGAAATGGAAATGAATCAAGATATTTCTTCATCACCGGCTTACCGCCGGCGAACGACACGCTCTGCATATTCAGCAGACTGTTTTGCGGATTGTCCAACACGATGAAGGCGACGAGCAAGCCGCGTTGCGCGCCAACTTCTCGCATGCACCTCCTCAGGGCTTCCTTCTCGTGGAAACGACCGTCTGCGATAATAAGAACGAGTTGTTGGAGTTTCGTACCGCCGCCGCGGATTTGTTCTCTAGCGACGGCCAGTCGCGCGTTGATGGTCTCAAGGAGCTGGACCATCGGTCGATCCGCCAAGGTGTTGTCCTCGGCGAACGACAGCTTGCTCACAAGTGACGGGCCATCTTGGTCGGTAAACGGAGCACCAAGCGGGTGGAGCGTTCGGACCGCGTTCGCTCCGGCTCCGAAACCAACGACGCCGATTTCCCCGACTTCCAAGCGCGCCATGGCGCGCGCCAAGAGGACCATGGATTCGAGCGCGATGTGGCCGCAATGGTTCTCCGCCATCGATCGCGAGTCATCGATCGCAAGCATGACTTGATATTTGCGGGCCGATGGTCTCGATCGACGCAACCATATTTTGTCCTTCCTAAAATCGCTCGCGATGTAAGGGATGATCTTGCGCATGTTCAATCTCTTGCCCGTCTTGAAATCGCCTTGGAGACGACTTGCGAGCGTAGGCTCCAAGATTAAACGAAGTTTCTCCGCGAGCTCGGCCGAGAGCGACGTCGTGAGCTGCTCTAACTTTCTCCAAAGATTTTGCGCACTCGATTCGTTTCCACGATCATCAGATGCCTTTTCTCGCCATTGCGTGAGGCTCTGCTCAGCCTCCATTCGAGCGCGCTCGACGTCCTCGGCGGTGAGCTCACGCGTCTTCTCGTTCGAACCGTCCAGTGAAGTATATTCGAGCTGCAGTGCAATCTTCGATTCATCGCCGCCTTTGCCTTCGCGGTCAGGAACTGCGTCAGCATCGACCATCTCTTCGTTGTCCACATCCTCTTCAGCTTCGATTGCCGCCGCATGCGGATCCTTCCCGACCATATCCTTCTTCGACGAGTCATTCTTCTTGCGCTGCTTCGCCGCAGCAGCCGCAGAAGGAACTTTGTCAGTTTCGTTGTCTCCATCGCCAGGGCCTTGGTCTCCTTCGTTGTTCGCATCGACGCGGTTATCCTCCTGCATCTCCATCTGTTCGAGGTTGTCGTTGGTATCGTCGTCGTCATCTTTGGATTCGTTCAGATTGTGTCTGAGCGCTTGTTCCTCGGTAGCATTGGCCAGAGTTTGAATTCCACCTTCGCCGTTGGCATCATCATCGTCCATGCCACCCTTATCGGCGTCTCTCTCGAATTCGTACTCGTTACCTTCCGCACCCGCATCAGCGCCTCCCTGATCGGCGACGTCTTCGTGTTCTGCCGCATCTCCGACAACATTCAGGCGTTCGCGCCACTTCTTCAACGCATCGCCTAATGATCGGTGAGGGTTTGTTTCTTGCTGTCGTTGCGATGGCGGTGGAGTCTTCTTGTTCTGATCTCCTCCGGAGCTGCCAGCCATGGGAGCAACCGTGCCTTCGCCGCCGCTCACGCCCGCTCCAGTACCCTCGCCATCTGCACCAGAGCTCGGTATGTCCGTAGAAGATTGCGGTGGGGGAAGCTGACTGCCATCATCGTTTTGTGGCGCGCTCATATGCGCATCTGCGGTGTTCTGCGGTTGCGACTTTGTCTGCTCTTCTCCTTGACCTTCAGATCCTTGAGCGTTGGCACCTGTTTCCCCACCTTGGCCCTGCGTCTCAGTGACATCCTGGTCGCCACCCCCGCCAGTTCCTTGACCCTTGGGACCGCCATCCTCCCCATCTTCGTCCATAGCGTCTTCTGCGACGTTGGCGTCATCGGCAACGTCGTCGGTGGCGAGATCATTTTCGTCGTCACCACCGTCTTCATCCTTGTCATCGACATCCATGATTTCCTCAGTGATACCGCCATCACCGTCGTCGTTCATTTCCCCTTCACCGTCCAGATTTTTTTCACCCCCGTCCATATTCTCCTCTTGATCACCTCCCGTTTCTTCGGCGTCATCATCGCGCATGGACTCGTCGTTCGCGTCGTCGGCGTTTTCCTCTCCCTCTTCATCTTCTTCAAAGTTCAAATCATCCATTTGGAACTCCTCCGGCTCTGGCTTGTTCGGGTTGAGTCCGTGATTTTCCTCCACTTCCTCGTCATTCACCGCACCCTCGTCGTCTTCGGGTGCAGCGGACTGATCATTTTGTTTCGGATCTTCCTTTTCCTCTTTCTCCTTTTCCTCGCCTTCGGGTTCCTTCGGCGTCTTGCCGTCGTTCTCCTCGTCCTCTGCGGCGCGCGTCTCGGTTTCTTGCGTATCATCCTGTTTCACGCTCGAACCCTTCTCATATTTCTCCGGCGCTTCGTTTTTATTTTCTTCCATGTCGTCCTCGTCATTCCACATGCGCTCGTCGATGACATCTCCGTCGTCTCCGTCCTCGCCCATTTCCTTTTCCATTTCCTGCTCGCCATTTTCCTTCTCTTCGTTGTCATCTCCAGGATCCACATCCTCCGTGATCCCTTCGAACTCATTTTGCATCTCAATACCGCCCTCGTCTTCCTCCTCGCCCCGGCCTTTCTCTTTCTCTTCCTCTTCCTCCTTTTCGAGATCTTCCATGCCCATGATTTGATCCTCATTCTCGATTTCGTCCGCGACGTCCTTCTTGCCTTCGCCGGCACCCATGCCGGTACCAGATTGATCATCCATCATGCCTCCTCCAGCCTCGCCCTCGGTCTCCTCCGGCGGAATGCAGAAGCCTTCAGTGGATAATCCAAGGAACAATGCAGTGAGTACAGATTCGAGTTTGCACGAAGATTTGTGGAAGTTGATGTATTCTCGGAGAACCGTTCTCACGGCGCTTCGAAGCAATCCGAGGAGCGGGGCCAAGGCGCCGACGCGCGCGACGACGTACTGAGACCATTCCCTTTGATTTATCTCTGTCGCCTGGTCGACAACGATCTTCACATCACGTACGACATCGCGAACGGCGCACACAAGACGATCGAGTCGCTTCGGATTCAGTGCGCCGCCAACTGCGGCTTCGTACGTCTCCATTGTACCATCGGCTTCCTCCTCTTCATCTTCGCCCTCATCGACGATTTCACGCTTCACCATAATCGGTTTCGACGCTGCATCGACGCCTTGAACCCAGAGGAGAGACGATTGCACCACGTTCTCGATGTTCTCGCGCAAACTTTCGAGATGTCTGGAAATGGATTCATCAGCGTCAAAAGATTTTTCCATGTGATAGACACCGCGGTTGAAATCACTCTCTTGTCTCTCGACATCCGCCTCGACAATGGAGCGCAAGAAATCCCAACCCGGTAGAGCATTCGCGCCGTGTAGACCAATCTCGCCAGAGTGCAGTTTGTCTTGAGCCTCGTTTTGCGCAGTTGTGAGTACTTCTTTCAGGCCCTTAAAGTCGTTGAAGTTTGCCCGAATCGCGTCCAAAGCCGCGTCCGAAGTGATGGCGCTGGATCGCCAAGCCTTCGAAGAAGGTCGCAATTTTCCGACTCGCAAATCAGCACACTCGAGCGTAGACACTACGAAAGGCTCGAGTCGTGCGCGAGAGCGACGCGCCACTTGTTTGCACTCGTTCAAAGCCTTCGTAACCGCAGGCGTCATGGTTTTCAACTCTGCAAGCGGCTCGGCGGCGCACACTGCTCTGTTGACCAAGCTCACATCGATGCACGCGGCTTCGAATCGAGCGACAAGATCGTACTGCTCTATCAAGTAGGACTCGCTAAATTGTTGTGAAGGAAGAGCGGCTCGTTCGCTTGCAGCAAGGAGCGATACGTACGCCACATCAATGTCAGCTTCTGCCTCAGCGGCTGCCGAAATCGTCAATCGCTGCAAACGTAAAATGTGTAACAGGTGCTCGCACGATAAAGTGGCGATCTCCATCTCTCGGCTCGTCAAATCTGGGTTTTGCAGCCCTTGCACTCGCCAAAGTCGTTGAATTCGAGCCATGGAACGATAATAGTACTTGTCAGCCGTGTGGAAAGTATCGACGGTATCTTGACCAAGTACAGAAAGACAGCGTGGGTGCTTCATCGCGGCTTCGGTGAACCAGGCCGCCGCGGTGCGATATTCAGCGGGAACGGCGCCTCGTGAGTGCTTGATTCCCATCGCTGGCAGTGCCTTGAGCAAATCTTGCAGTGCTTTCTTCTTGATAGCCTTCTTTGCAGCCTTGTCGTCACGAAGCGCATTTGCGCGACTCGCGATGGTCACAGCGAAGTCATCAAGAGACTCAGCTCCGGCCGAGCGCACATCGTAACCTTCTTCGCCGTTCAGAGCGTCGCCAAGAATATCTCCGGCTCGTTTGACGAGTGACGGTAGACGAGATTGATACAAATTCTCGTCCTCGTCGGCGATGGCGAACTTTTGCTCGTCTTTGATTTGTTGCGCAACTTGTGACGCGAAAGCAACAGCCTGCTTCGTTTGCGTATTTGCTTCATCGCAAGCTGCAACCCAAGTTTGCCGGTGCATTCGAAGAGAATCGAGCTCGGCATGCCGCATAGTTTCAGCTCCCGCTTCGCGCGCCGAACGAACGACTTCGAGTTCGTCGTTTGATGGTTTCACTTTCACATTCGCATTCGCACCGACCAGCATTGGTAAAGCTTGCGCGCCACCATCCGAAGAGAGCTCTTTGAACCCGGTTTGTGATGCAGCCTTTTCCAGAATTGGGAGAACCAATCCGTTGAGTGCCGTATCGAACGCTCGCACAAACTTATGCAGAGATCTCTGATTTGCCTCGCCCTGCACCTTCATGGCGTGGAAACCCCGATCCTCCCACTTCGCGAGCTTGGCGTGATCTCGAAGTTTGATCTCGCACGGCTTGCGGATCGCCTCGACGTGCTTATCGATGACATTCTGGAACTGCGAATAGTAGCGCCAGACGTTGTGCAACACAGCACATAGCGCGTCGTCTTGCTTCGTTGTTTTTGATCCTCGCGCCCGGCAAGCGCGTATCTCCACCTCAAATTCCGCGTAAAAGCACCAAATCAGTTCAAGGCGAGTGTCGAACTCGCCGATGGTAGATCCCTGTAAATACTCTTCCAGGGCCACCGTTATTTGATGAAACTTTTCCAGGTCGACTTTTTTATCGTTCGCATCATCACTTGCCTCTTCACCAAGTAGTGCGCGCGATTTCATCGAGCTCAGTAATCTGCGAACGGCGAACCACGTGCGCTTGGCTCGTGAGGCGTGGCGTTCGCTGCAGCGAGCTAACAACCTCGGCCACGTACGTAATTCTCTCGCACGCCATCGAAGCGCGAGTTTCGCGCACTCGCTGAGTTGTTCCTTCAACGATGTATGAGACGCAGCAGATTCTTCCCAAATTTGCGCTCGCGCGAGGAGGAGTTCAATGCCTGTCAACCCAGCCTTGACCGGACCAAGGAGTGGCAAAGAAAGCATACGATCGCAAATTTGTGCGAGTTGCGTGAGGAGTGGATGTTCCGGCCACTCTTCCAGCAGTTCAGCTAGACGTCGTCGAGCGGCCGCGACTGGAGGAACGAGCAAGGCCATCTCTCCAGGACATCCACCGACGTTCATCTCAGAATCGATTGCGTCCGCTGCAGCGTCTTCGTCGAGTTCTACCTGAGTTCGCTTCGTACGTGCAGTCATGACGTCATCCTCTTCTAGAGAAAACTGTGACTCATAAGGCGACGCACCAAGTGTATCCATCGAGAGAGCCGGCTTCGATACAGCAGAGTGCTCCAGCGCCACTCGAAGAGAGTGTCCCAAGCGAGACGCGTAATCAACAGCAACTGGAAGCGACAACTGGCTCGCCTTGAGAACGGATATACCTGTATCGTACGCCCGCGCGAATTCCGACGCTCGTAGAGCTTCTTCACTGCTCAAGTTACGAACGTACTTCCCGTATTTCATCAAGCGAGTTGAGCGGACAATTTTCTCCTGAGCACTGGTTGAATCGTCTGAATCTTCTGTGATGTGCGTCGGCGCACCTCGAAGGGTAGCGAGCGCAGCGTAGTGTACGTTCACTAATTCCTCAGCGAGCTCACCCTCCAAGATGCCAGCCATACGGGCGGCACGAGTGATGTTCGCCTCGTCGTCCGCGTCCTCGTCTTCTTCCTTTTTGCCGTCCTCAATGCAGTCATGCTCGAGCATGAGAGGTGCACCTGGCTCATCCTTGAATTCGGCGTAATCTGATGAGAAGTCTTTGAAAGCGATGCGGTATGCGCGCTCTTCCGTTGCGTTGTCGTTCGCTTCGGCAGCTTCGTACGAAGTCGGTCCCTTTGTGGCCTGCTTGAAAATCTCAGTCGCTTCCCTCTCGGCTTCGAGATCTTCCTCACGACAATTCTCATACAGAGCCGCAAAAGTTGTGAAACATTTGCTCAGACGCTGCCACGTGTTCATGCTCAAAGCGCCATCAAGTCTGGCTTCGGATAGAGCGCTCGTGAGTGCGACGCGTAGAGCGTTCAACGCTAAATCCCCAGACTTTGGATTTGATGACAGATGCGCCGTCGATATGTTCTCCGCCTCGCTGAGTGCGTGCAACACTCGTTCCTCGCTTAGCAACAACGACATCGAACCTTCGTATTTAGAATTCACGACAGTCGGGAACGAGAACAGTGCCGTAGCGGCGGCGAAAAGATCACCACTGCTCTTCACTCTAGCCCGCGCGGAATCTGCAGCGAGAGCGACGCCACGTCGCATTTCGTACACCGCCAGTTGAATGGGCTGCGTCATGTCCCGATACGCCGAGTACTCCTCGTTGAGTCTCGAACACCATTGCGCACTCGAACTCAACCAAGTTTCCGCTTCCATCATCGCGCTCTCGTCCGGGCTCAGTTCTGAACATTTGTCTAGCAAACTGATCAATCTCTGAGCCGCTGCCAAGCCTTCCCGGAATCGCTCAACGTCGCGGCGTAAGGCAACCCAACGCGAAGGCATGGGACGTGGAATCGAAAGGCTTCCTAGTCTTTCTCGTTCGCGTGACAACACATCGCAGCGATCGATGCAAACCTTCAAGTTTTCGTAGTCGGCACTTGGCGCACAAGGAGTGCGCCGTTGCCAAGTCATGACGCCTACAAGTGGTTTCATTTCGCCGTCGAGGATGGACTCGGCCAAGCGCAGCTCGGTACGCACCGTGACGGCTGGATCAGACAACCCAGCGGGAAGGAGAAGGTTGAGACGGAGTAAACCGAGCATCGTCCATGCGTTCCCGCGCCGACCACGATCCCGTGCACCCTGTTCACCCGATAAAGCCGCGCTCCTCATTACGTCTCTGTGCGTGGAGCCCTCGCACAAGGTGCGCACGAGAGGTTCGAGAACCTTTTCACGAAGTTCCTCCAGAGGTGGATAAACTTCGCAGAGACCCGCACAAGCCTCGATAAGAGCGTTCGCAGTGCTTAGCGCGGACTTCGCAGAACTCGTATGCAGGAGCTTCATCATGGCGTTGATCGCATTCGTGAGCGCGACAGATCTCCCCGAGTCATCTACCAGTAAAGATTTGTGACTAAGCAACACTTGTGCAGTCAAGCTTCCAACCGAAAGCCAGTCTTCCCGTGATGCCATCACTGGATCTTCTCGCTCAAAGCGCATCAATCGCGATGCCATACGTAATTGCAATATTCGCGGCAAACGCTCCGCACACCCAATTTTAGAATCAGTCACGATGGCTGACCCAAACGCGGTTGCGGTGGCGCGTTCAAATCTGACCGGTCCCGAGGCTGAAGTCCATACGGCCGATACCGGGCTTTCAAAAGCGGTCTCTTTCTTGAATGTGGGTAAAAGTGAATGCGGCGTCGCGTCCATGGAGTTATTCCATTGAGACGCGTGCCATCTAAGCCACATGTCGTGGAGGTGCTCACTCAGTGCCTGGGTCTTCTCGAAAACGTTAATATTTGATGCGTCTCCGTAAAGCCAGAGAAGATGACGGTGAGCGACAAAGTCCGCCGGCGTTCGTGGTGAAGATGAAATTCCAAACGTGATGCCTTGAGCCGCGAGCATCGCTTCCATTGCACTCATGATGTCGTCTCTGCCTTGCACCGCGCGAGACGTCAAGATGCTGAGAAGCTTTGCTTGTGACGAGATGGACCACAACTCCGCAATCGGACTCAAGCCGCCGTTCAGCCGAGCGATCGACTCCCATTTGAGAGACCAAGCCGGGAAACCTGTGGCCGGGTACGCAGGCACGTCTACGTCACCAATCTTACCAAGTTTCCACGGCTCATCCTTGTCGGCTGAGGACAGTAGCTCTCGAACTGGCAGGTCACAGATGTGTCTCTTCTCGCGTAGGTTCACTACGGCGTCTTCATCTTCTTCCATTTGTGAGATCATGACGACGCCAGAAAGTTTTGCTCGATGGATGCATTTAAGAGTCAGTAGTCTCGGAATCTCACTTGCTTGGAGCTCGATTTCAGAGTTCGCGACGAAACCGGTGTTCGCGTCCACGTGCGTCCAAGCGAAGAAGCATAACCCTTCCAAAGCTGCTGAGCGCAAGGCGACACCAGCTCCGAGCGCGGCGCATGCAGCCGAAAACGTCGCATCGTTATTCGCGCTGTTCGTGTCATACATGCGTCTGTTCAACGCTAGATCAAGATCTGTCGCGACACTTGATCTAACTTGAAGAGCGTGGCAGATGTCTCGTACGCTTGTTTCTAACTTGAGAAGGAACTCAGTCTTTGGAATAGAAGGCCGTCCCGCATGCTTCCATAGGAGTGGATCGATGGGTTTACCGGCCGGTATCTCGAGTGCCGCATCCATGAAACCCGCGGCGTTTCTCACTTGCTCCATGATTACGCTCAAAGAGTCCATGTCGACATCCAAGTTTTGCGTTGCCGATAACATCTCGCGAACTTTCATCCACACCACCGCCATGGCTTCCACAACGTCAGCTGACGCCACGAGGCCGGATGTCGGGTCAATCTTGAATAAATCAGCTCTCGAGGCCACGGCTAGGTTTTCTAGGCCTATGCGCCAATCCTGAAATTCGCTCAGAAGCGCGTACTCGTGCGATGAGAAGTTCTTGTCCACAGCGCACACGAGTCTAAGAACAGCGTCCTCGAACCGCGCAAAGTTACCAAGAACAACGCTTATCACATCTACACAAGCGTGTACAGGAGCTGCTCGCGTTCGTGCAACGTCATCTTCATTGCGCTGAATGGATAGTTGCAAGCATGACGAGGCGTTCATTCCATACGCCTCGGCGCTGCGCTGTGCATGTAATTCTGTTGATGCCCGTTGCAATGCCCCTCGGATGACCATCGATCGCAAAGTCGAATCGCCTGCATGCGCGGATACCATGAACGGGTGTTCTTTGATCGCATTCAACGCGTTGACGGTGGACAGCACCTCATCCTTAACAGCCGGAAGAGAGTCAACTTGAGTGAAATGCGCAAAGGTTGATAGCCTCATTGCAACACCGTCCAGATTGTGCAAATCACCACGAATGATCACGTCATCCAGAATCTGTCGCGCGCTTGCTTTCAACGTGACAATCAAGTTCGATATAGTACTTCCATCGCTCTTCATGGCTTCGTGGTGAACGGTGATTCCGATTCGGCGCATGGTTGCACTCACTGGCAAAGCGCCAGTAATGAAAGGTGAAAGTGCACTCAATTCTGTCTCCCCTATCAACTGCCCCGCGAGCTGCGCAACGATGCCTTCGAAAAGTGCGGTCTGCGATTTGTGCTGACTCTCCGTATCGTGTGAGCCGTACATCAATGCCTCGTTTGCGATGCTAGCGTTCGGCCAACACATCGGCTGGTACATGACAGATCTCGCAGTCACATCTTCGACAACAGGCTCACCAGTGGCGAGTTTTCGCAAAGATTCGAACGCGCTCGCACATGCAGACTGAAACGCGTTGCGGGCAACCGCGCGAATTGTCTCGTTTGACTCGCCGCGCATGTAAACTTGGCTCCAACTCGACCAAAGAGCCACTTGGACGTCATGGCCACGTGACAGCAATTCTTGCGCTAACGTTCCCCACTCTGCGAGTAATCGCGATGACACCGCCTTCAAACCTGGCCTAGACGTGCGATCTCCAAACGAAGAGTGCGCTTGTACCATGATTGACTGGGCGAACCCACCCGGAACACCAACGGACTCGAGAATTTTGGTGATATCATCTTCAACTGTGGGATCAGCGGGCGGCATTCGCAACGGTGATGGAAGTGCAACATCGTGCGCAGACGCCGACGCACCCTCAGGAGGTAGAAGAAAAACCTCCACGCCTCTGTTTCTCATCGCCCTGGAAATTTCGCCATGCCTCGGGTCGATGGCCAGGAAAAGACGGAAGTTTGGATGAGCCTTGACGACACGAGGCTTGCCATTAATCAGGCCGCATTCGTTCACCAACAAAAATCCTTCGGGTTCTAGGAGCGGGTTCAGCCGATCGAGGACGGTCGGTGAACACAAGTTCGCGTTCTCAAGAAGTACCCATTCACCATTCATGACGGCATTGAGCAAGACTCCATCGACCCATTCGAACTTTCCTGCATCAGGTGAAGGTCCTGGCGCCCACGCACGTTGACCAATGTTTTCAACCCTCTCCTTCAAACCTGTCGAGAAGGCACCACCGTCAATACTGTAGAGAGCTCTCAGTACATCCATGAGAGCCGTGTATGAATCGGCGCCTGACATATCCACGCTCGTTCGCATGCGTGACCTGTAACGCTCCCACGCTGTCCAAAGCGTGTCGAATAGCTCGATATTCAACCACGTGGTTCTTTCTCCGCAGCTTGATTTCAATGCCTGGAATATATCTTCCTCGACTGCAGCTCGATCTCGACTGGGATCACGCTGTTCAAACGACCCGAGGAGCTCGCTCGTATCCGTCGCCGCTGTCAACGTTGCTTGTCTCAGACGGTTCCCGGAAAGTGCAGCCAGCATTTGCACGATTGTTGTTTTACCACTCGCGGTGCCGCCGACGAGTATGGACATCCAGCCACGCTGCACGCAATGTGCAACAGCCTCTAAGGCGCCGAGCTGCCCAGGAAGCAAACTATATTTCGCGTCATCGATATTACTCAACTTCGTCTCTCCGCAATTCACGCGCGCATCACCGACACACAGCTGTTCGCCTTCGACGAAGAGATGCCTGCCGTTCACCTCTGGCGGCATATGGCCGAAGGCGTCCATAAAGAACTTTGAACATTGCTCACGGTCGACGTGCGTACGCAGTCTTTGCAAGAATAACGTACCAAATAGGCGCTCTACAGCGACGCGAGGCTCTAAAGTAGTCGACCTCTCGGCAAGATCGCACCAGCGCAAGATGTCACGCAAATTGAACTCCCACGGTGCTCCAGCGCGAGCAAATGATCCACCTGGTGCGCTCGCCGCTTGCGCGAGCGATGCGTTGAAACGTACCATGGAAGAAACGCTCTCAACGGGAATTTCAGGATGAAGCGCTAAGGATATGTAGTTCAAATCGTCCGCACACATCGGTTCGACGTGCACCCGTGTAAAACGGTTCAAGAATGATTTCGGTAAACCTTTCCGTCCACCGCCCTCTTGCACGGGATTTTGCGCAGCGAACACTCTGAAAGTTGGAGGACATCGAAACGTCTGGCCTAATTCAGGGACGAAAACTTCGGCTCGATGATCCAAAACTGCATTCAACCCCTCAAGAACGGGTTGCGGTGCAAGATTCAATTCATCAAGCAGTACCCAATCGCCAGCTTTCAGCGCCGCCAAGAATGCTCCGTCTGACCAAACGAACTCACCCGCGGCGCCACCTGCGGCTGGTAAATCGGCACCGAGCAAATCCATCATGTCCGTCTGCTCGCTGAGGTTTAAACGAACGAGCTTGTGGCCAGATGCTGCGGCGAGCGCCGAGATGATTGACGTCTTTCCCACCCCTGGACTACCTTCAAGAAGGATGGGCTTGCGCAACTGCATCGCACGCATAATTCTCGCAGCGTTCTTTTTTGTCGAAGGCGCGGACAGCGCGAACCCACCTTTTTCGGTCATGTGATGACCGCACTTTATCTTAAACGGGTGCACACCGAAAAAACCGTCGGTATCCACATCGAAGCTTGTTGCGGTGTCGCCCTCCGGCGCGGCCGCAAAAGCGAGAGAGGCGCGATCCTGCAACACACGCGTACAACGTTAGTCGAAAATATGCAGCGAATCAAAGAAAAAAGTTATCGAAGAACATCACCGGAGGTGTTCAGGGTTGTGAAAATATTTTCTCTCAGTACCGAAGCTCGGAAACTTACCAGGTACAACGAAGCATCATCACACCTCCGGTGCGTCGAAAAGTCGGGCTCATTTGTTCGAGAACTCACCTGTTCAGAAAGCTGCCCATGTAAAAAGCTCAAACATCTCGCCTTAATTTGTTTCGCGGACTCTTCCGGCATGCCTAGGCCGAGTCCCAGACCATCTAGGAGCGTAAGATACGCGCCGTGCGCGTACGCCTCTGATGGGCTCAGTGGCGCACGGCGAGAATTATCTACCATCTCGCGTATGAAGTTCGCCCAGCCAATCAAGTCGCGAACCGCAAGCGCAGCTCGGGCAGTGGAACTTCCGGCATTTTCATGGTAGAATTCCCAGAATTGTGCGAGGTGCGCTGCAAACGGTGCGACAGACGTTTCGCACATCCTCTTGGCGACAATATTTTCCATCTCGCTGGCCGTGCCAACACTTCCAATCCAAATTTCGGTGAATCTGTTCCTGAGAGCGGGTGAGAGTTCTTTCTTTCCAAAATCACCCCCAGGGTTCATCGTCGCAAGAATCAAGAAGTTAGGATGTGCCGTGAGCTCCTCGACTTCGGCGCCACCTTTTTCAGGGAGAGTGATAGAACGACCCGGTTCCAGCACAGAGTTCAAGCGCTCAAGGACGGAATCTTCCGCGAGCGAAAGTTCATCGACGAGCAATATATCTCCCTCGCGCATCGCTTGAATAAGTGGCCCGTCCTCCCAAGCAAAAGGAGCCGCAACTTTGCCTTCATCCATCATGTCTTTTCGCTCGGAAGTTCTTGTCGGTCTGAAACCACCGATGAAGTCGCTCGTCTCAGTGTGTTGGTGACAGTTCAGAATCCGAAGCCTCTGCCCTCTGAGTAGCGCCAAAAGCTGGCATACGGATGTCTTACCGCACCCCGTCTCGCCAACGAGTAGCGCGGGTTCTTTGTGATTCATGCATCCTTCGACCAGTGCGAAGAGACGCCTCATCGCAGGGGTCCAAGCGATCGTCTCCGCCAAGGCGGCGGCATCTGCGGCTTCTAAACCACCCATCTTTTGCGCTTGCGAGGCCGCATCCAACAAACTCTTCTCGAGAACACCTTCTTGCGCGGACGCATAAAGCGTGCTTTCCACAAGAGACGGGACCTTCAGACACTTCTCAAGCACTTCGCGAATCGAGTTGCGTTCTGAATCGCTTCGAAGCCGCTCACCGAGGACTCTGAAACCATCCGCCGCGAGCTCTTCATATCCATTACTCTGGCGATTTGCCCATCGGAACAGATCTCTTGCGGTTATATAACCATCTTTACCAGCGAATGCTCTCGAGCCTTGGCGTCTTCTTTGTAATTCTCGCATTACCTCAACGAGTTTGACGCAGTACGAAGGTGCAATTTCACAGCGCGTGTTCAAAATAGTCTTGAGCTCTTCATCCGGAATATCTCCGATGTGAAGCTCCATGAAGCGATTTCTGAACGCCTTACTCAGCACTTTACGCCCACCGTATATCGCGCCTGGCGGATTCTGCGTCGCAAAGAGCATGAAGTGTGGATGCGGGCGTATAGTTTCTTGAAGTTCGGGTACAAACAACTCTCGGTTATCGTCCAAAAGCCTGTTCAGCGCCTCGAGGACGTCCGTTGGGGCCAAATTGAGTTCGTCAAGGACAACCCAATAACCTTTTCGCACTGCCTGCACGAGAGCGCCCTCTTGGAAGACGAGTTGCCCTACGATATAAAAAGTCAGTGGCGGCGTTCAGATATGAGCAAAGTGCAGAAATTTCGGGCCTCAATCTGTGCGCGTCCTGGTTACCGGGTTCTACGCCAGCTTTCGGCGACGCGCACGTGAAAGAGTACCACGTTTATGTTCGGCCGCTTTCCGAGCCCCCAGACCCATGGAGTAGGGAAGACGGCTAACGAACTAGCGGCCGGGAAGTGAATTTGGAAAAGAACGCGCGCGGTCTCCGTGTGGCGATGTCGTACCTGTTTCGTCCGTCACATATGTACCGAGGTACTCCTGCAAATCAGTGTGCTCGTGATTGTTGATGCGCATAAATCGATGCCCCGTTCGTTGTGCCAGGTATTCCACGAGCGACGTCTTACCACTCGACGTGGGGCCTTGCAGAAGAATTGGGTGACGTCTCAACAACACAGCACGAGCAAGATTGGACAGATGCCTCTTGACGGTTTCCGTGACGACGTACTTTCCCTCTTCGGGACTAATTCGGGAAAGATCTCCCGCTTCGACCCAGAAGTGCTCTAATAAAACGTGTGTGTCGCCGGCCGGTGGATTTGGTGGATTTTTCACAGCCTGCGAATGCGAAGCACAGTTAGTCAAGGTTCGAGCACAGTGCGGGCGTGCGAAATGTAGAAAAAGCATCTTCCAAAACCTCAGAAATCAGAGTTGGAATAGGTATTGTTTTCCCGGATGGTTGTGCCGTCGTTGGCGTGAAAACGCCCATCCTCGCAGTCCATGAATTGGGATCTCGAGAACGTGAACGACGGGGAAAACATTCAAAATGCGACGAGCCACCGGACGTACCTTCAAAGCGGTTCCTCGAAGTAGATGCTTGATCATCAGCTTCTCAAGCGTAACGCCGCTTTCCGTCTTAAGCAAAGTCAAGAACGACATCGCGAAGCCATCAAACAGTGCACGTTGAACCCCATATATTCCAGCGGCCGCACGTACGTACTCGCAAGCGCGAGAAAGTGTGCGCAATGAATATTGTGGCTTTTGGTCGGCGCTATCAAGCAAAGTCGTGTGCGCTGCTTGACGCGCAGCCATGTAAAACTCGACGATATCGTCAACTTGTACTCCCGGAACGCCGTGCAAGTATGCGTCTACAATCATGGCCAGATCTTCTCTGCTCTCTGTCTCCCCGGCGTAGATTTCGACAAATCTGTGCTTAAGTGCCGAAGGAAGATCGCGCTTACCCACATCCGTCGCGGGGTTCATCGCACCGAAGAGTCGGAAACGAGGATGTCGCGGAATCTGCTCGCCGTCTCCGCGCTCGCTTAGCACGATGCTGCCGCTCTCACTTTCTAGTACACCCCCGAGACGCTCGAGCGTCTCCGCCGGAGCTAAGTTTATCTCATCCAACAGAATCCAATGTCCTTCGCGCAGTGCGGTAACCAGCGCTCCCTCGACGAATGCGAACACCGGACCTCCATTCTTGCTCGCATTTATAGAGTGTTCCACGGTGCTGAGATCTCGCTCAAAATCTCTCCAAGCCTCGATGAGATCATCGGGAAGAGCGCTCGATGTCTTCCTGCGCTTATTCGCCTTTTCATAGCCAGAGGTATTGATCTTACTTTCTTTCACAGCCTCCGCGGCCAGCTTCGCGACGCGTTCAACACCGGCTCGGAATGCGTGCAGGAGATGGGCCCACTTGCGCTTCTCTGAGTACCGCGCAATCCTAGTAAGAAACTCTGCGTTCGATGCCGAAGGAAACGTCTTGTTGAACGCACTGTGAAACTTTGGAAGTAATGGAAGACACAAGTGCCGAGCATTGACAGGCTTGAAACCGCCGAGAAAGTCAGCAGATTCAGACTGGTTACTCAAGTTGACGACGGTGAGCGGTGCACCGGTGAGTCGGGCGAGCTCTTGTATCAGTGCCGTCTTACCGGTCCCCGTTTCACCCACCAATAACACGGGCTCATTTAGTTGCACAGCCGCCGCCACACGCTCGAGGAGCCTCATTGCGTGTCCGGTTCTCGACCACTTCGCACCCTTTAAGTTCCTCGCCCCGACGGGGAGCAGGCATCGGCCGATGGCGACCGATTGGTGTCCTTCTTGAATCGTTGGTTTATGCAAGCGATCCGTCGCGTCGGCAGTGTCCTCCGCCGGAAGTCCCCAAGTGGCGGCGATCATCTTCAATACGCGGCGCCGACCCGGCCCCGCCGGTAACATGCCTGCGAGAAGGTCCGCCGCCTCGCCGTATGCAGCCGCTCTGAGTTGCGGCGGTGCCGCCTTGTCGGCTCGAAGCAAAGCGAGCTCGTGCGAACGGAGTGTCGCGATTCGTCGAGCCCATCGAAGGAGATCTCGCAGAGTGAAAGGCCTGCCGGCGTGCACGCGAGCGAGCGAGTGATTTGCATCGCTCGCCTGCGCCTCTAATCCACTCGCAGCGCGCTCCGCGTCTCTTGCGTCGCCCGTAGCTTCTTGAATGACCACGTCTTGATCGGAAATCGCACCCAATCCCGCAGCTTCACCCGCGATTGCGCCTCCTTGCCCACACAAAGTCTGGACTTGACGAACGGTCGCGAGCATTGTGTGCGCGAGAGGAGCCAAATTTGGATACGATCCGCACAGAATCGCCGTCGCCTCGTCGCCACGTGGCGGCTCGACAACGACGCGCGTCCACAATCCCGAGAGTGGATCTGCGCTCGATGACGCCGATCGTCCTGCCTCGGTCGTGACCGATCCGAAAAGCTGGAATCCAGGCGCTGCTTGCACGCTCTCGCCGCGTCCGGGGACGTAGAGCTTGCGTTTCTCCAAGAGCGGCACCAATGCAGATAAAACTTCAAAAGGCGCGAGATCGATGTCTTCGATGAGCACCCACACACCCCGAACCACCGCCTGCGTCAGCGCACCGGGTTGCCACTTAAATTCACCCGGGGCAGCGCCACAAACGTACGCCCCGAGCAACGACTTTGAATCCGTCTGCGCGTCGAGGTGAAGTGTGACGAAATCATCGTTACCCGTGAGGCGCGCAACTTCCTCGAGGACCGCGGACTTACCGCACCCCGCCGGACCCTCGAGCAAGACGGGTCGGTTTTGACATAGCGCGAGCGCGACAGCGGCTAAATTTTGTCGCGCACTCTCGGTGTAAATCATCGCGTGCCCTTTCGTTCGTCTGCTCGGACTCGTGTCCGTCTCGCTTCGTCGTCGCACCTCGACGCCTCCAATCCTCACGTATCCCTCCGCAGGCGGCGCGTACTCTCCCGTGGACAAATCCGCGTCCGCATCCAAGAGCTCGTGCGTTCCGGGTTGAATCCAAAACGTCGCGCGCTCGTTTGCGAACTCTAAATCTCTCGCCTCTCTTCGAGCTGCGTACTCGTGAAATCGTCCGGCGTCCCGCGTCGTCGCCGAACGCATCTCGCTCACCGCTCGCGACGACAGCCCGAGCGCGCATCCCACGAGTGCACATGCGTTATACCGTACCTCATCGCTCTCCGAATCCAGTAATCGCACGCTCGCCGACCAATCGAACGTCTCTCGCGTCGACGCGCACCGCCTCCAAAGCGTCTCCAGCGCTCTCACCGATGAAGTCGTCTCCTCCACCGTCGCACGCCCACTTCGCTCCACGACCGCTCGCACCGGCTCTCGTACCCCCCCACTCGCGAAAAACGCATCGCACGCCGACGAACAGTGCGGCAGAAGCTCCACAATCGTCCCCAGCGCCCGCGTCGTTTCCTCGCGCGCCGCGCCCGCGCCCGCCGCGCACACCCCCGCCGTCACCCCCAGCGCGTTCGCCCTCGCCGCCGATATCGTCACCAACGCGAGCGACGGTATCGTCGCGCACGTCGCGAGCGCCGCAATGGCCTCGCTCGCGTCGCCATCCGTCGTCGAGCGCACCGCGCGGTCGAGCGCGCGCAGAGCCGCCGCCGCTTTTCATCGAGCGAATCCTCCTTCACGCGCGCCCGCAGCGCGTCTCTCGCGCGCGTCGCCGTCGCGATGGCCGACACCACCATCGTCGCCGCGCCGCGCGCGTCGTCGCGCCCTCGACGTCGCGGGCAACGCGCGCGTGTGCGGTCGCGGCCGCGCCGCTGTCGAAAGGGGCGCGTCTGCCTTTCGACGCCCGCATCGAAAGGTGCGTCTGCCTTTCGACGCCCGCATCGAAAGGTGGTCGCGCACCTTTGCGCGCGCGCCCGACTCGCCGACGCCGCGCCATGGCGCCCGGCGACGGCGCCGATCTCTCGCACGTCCGTCGCGGGACCGCGCGCCGGGCGCCCGCGACGTCGGGGACGGGCGACGGACGCCGCGAGCGCGTGGAGCGGTTCCACGGCGCGTTCGAGGGGGGATGGAGCGCGGGACACTTTAATTCCGTGGGCACGGCGGATGGGTGGACGCCGCGGACGTTTCGAAGCGGACGACGAACGAGGGCGGATGAGACGTCGAGGGAACAGCGCGTGGAAGATTTCATGGATGAGGATGAGATCCGAGAGCGGCGAGCGACGGTGTTGAGGACGAGGGAAGGATTCGATACGTTTGGCGACGGCGCGCGAGAACGCGGTCGCGAGGCGGGACGGCGCGCGGCGGAACGAGACGAACGTGGCGTCGGTGGAGAGATGGTGAGCGGTGATATTGGGGGGTCGTTTGAGGTTGCGGATTTGCTGGTGGTCGGCGAGGCGTACGGGATCGGAAGGGCGTTGTTGAGAAAGTTGGGACGGGCTCGGCGGAGAGCGCGAGACGTCGTCGTGGACGGCGAAGACGAACGCGCGGTGGAGCGGTCAGAGATCCCGAGATACGTCGTCGATCCGAAGAATGATCGAAAGGGCTTGGGATACGACGCGTTCGCGGGGGCGGAGGAATTTCGAGACGCCGCGATGCGGCGGCGGAGGGCGATGGAGGACGAAAACTCTGGACGCGCTCGCGGACGTCGTCGAGGCGAGGCGTTCGGCGTGAGCGTGTTCGAGGAGGAGGACGAGGCTTTGTATGACGAAGATAAGCCGAAATCAAGCGAATACGTGTTCGAATTGGACGACGATGACGACGTCAACATCGAGGGCCGGGACGATTTCGGTGCGAGACGAGCGCCGGGTGCGACGCTCGCGCTCGGCGCTGCGCTTCCGAACGACTGCGTCGTGCGAGGATTCAAGGTTTCCTCAGACACGCTCGCGCCACCAAAGTGGTTTGAGCCGCCCGTTGTGCCGAGAAATTATCAACCGCGCGCTCCCGTCGCGCCGAGAGCGGCGCGAGCGACGACGGTGCAGCCAACGCTGCCTCCCGAGGCGCCAGCGCCGGCGGATGTGGAGCGACGCAAAGTCATCGACACCTTGGCCACGTTCGTCGCGAAGCACGGTAAGCAGTTCGAGGACATGGCCAAGGCGCGACAGGGTGAAGACGATGAAAAATTTTCGTTTCTCTTTGGCGGGCGCGACTCCGGGTATTACAAGTGGAAATTGGCCAAGGCGGCCATTGAGGCAAACTCTGAGGCGTCGGTGGCTCCGGAGAGACGCGCGCGACCGCTCGGGATGGAGGACAGGGCGAAGCTCTTAGGTGAGGAGTTGTTACCTTCGACCGTCAGTTCCTTAGGCCGCGGCAGCACGGTGACCGCGCCGAATCCATCCGCGCGCGAGCCGCCGGCGAGGCAGAAGTTCTCAATCGACGGTATCGACGCCAGCGATCGTGAGCGCATTCAGAAACTCTTGAGCAAGACGTTCACCACCGGCGGGGTCGTGCAATCGGACAAGATCGAACAAGTTGGATTGCACGTTCTCGAGAAGAATAAGCCAAAGATAGAGCCGCACAAGCGTGAAGTGGACGATAGCGCCGCACTCGTTACGCAGATGCCGCTCGTCGCCTCTCGCTCATCCATGGAGTGGGCCCCGGAACCGTTGCTGTGCAAGCGTTTTGGAATCCAGGATCCGTTCGCGAACAGAGCGCGTCCGGACGTCACGCGATACAAGTTCCGCTCGGATGGTATCTCACTGGACGCCACGCACGCAAAGGCGCGCGAAGAGGCACCGAAGTACCTTGACGTGCCGCCACCTCCTCCGGCTGCGAAGAAAAAGACGGAGGTCCCGCCGCCGCCTCCAGTGCCTGCCGCGTCCAAGAGTGTCAAGGTCCCGCCGCCACCGCCACCGCCGGCTGCTGCGGCGACGGTGGCGTTTGTCGAGAAACCGATGTGTCTCTTCAATGCGATATTTGAAGACTCCGATGAAGAAGCAGAGGAAGACGATAACGAGACGGAGGCTGACGTCGACGTCATCAAGGCGGCCCTCACGAAACCTGACTCACCGCGTGTGCCCGCGCCAACGCCTGCCGCAGCGCCCGTGTGGTCGTCGGCCGTGATGACCAAACCCGCAGAGGATGAACGCACTCGCAAACAGAAACGAGAGCGTGAATCCAAATCCCGGAAAAGGAAAAAAGAAAAGAAAGAGAAGAAAGAGAAGAGGCGCCCGCGAGACGATCGAAAGCATAGAAAACATAGAAAGCGCTCGAGGCGCGATTACGACTCGAGTTCGAGCTACACTAGTGATTGACATTGCATAGACAAATCATAGAAGACAACCTAAGCTTCCGTTGGTTCACCATCCGACTCAACTTGACCCCGTTCTTCACGGTCAAAGTCGGTGATTGGTTCGACACTTGCGCCGACAAAGTAGAAGATGTTCTTCACCATGTCCTCGCGAATACCCTCCACGAGCGAGACAAAGGCTCTCGCGCCGTCGATGCGGAATTCATCCTTCGGATCCAAGTGTCCGAAGCTGCGAACTTGAACGCTCGTGCGCAAGACCTCCATCTGCGCGAGATGCTGCTGCCAGAGCGTGTCCACGGCTCGAAGCGCCCACAGGCGTTCCACATCCTCGAGTTCCGTGCGATCATAGTCTTGCGCGGCTAGGCGAGCAAATCGATCGAGGTACATTTGTACGGCAGCTTCCGTGAGATACGATCGAAGACCTCGCGCTTTTCGCGCGTGCCATCCCTTGCTCCATCTCTTTATGTACTCCTGTGAGAACTCAACGCCAGATGGAGGCGCCAAACGTTCCGCCAGGCGTTCCATGAGCGCCTCATCGGAAGCTTCAGGCTCTGTGTCTTGAACGAACTTGCTATCGTGACCATCTGGGATTTCTACCAGTACGCCACAAATCGCGGCTTTTGCCATCGCCGGCGGCACCGTTAACGGTGGCATTGGGCGTGGAACAGGAAGCGACTCGTCCTGGATGACGGCTCTTTTGATATCCGCAGCAGTCACGCCCGGGAGGTAGTGGGGGTCATCGCTCAACGGCTTTCTAGTCATTGATAACCAGTGATCCATTCTACCGATGAACACAAGGCGGAGCTCTCGAATAAGACGATCAAAATCCCACTTCTTCGGTGAAACGCCTCCAGAAACGCCCGCGCGCTCACACGCGTCGTCGACAAGTTGACCCATGTACTTGAACAGCCGCTTTCTCAGCGAAGACTGGCTGCTCAACAGAATCTGCCGGCGCAGTTTATAGACAGCCTCGCGCTGGCTATCGAGCACCATGTCGGAATCAAATGTAGACTGACGACCAGATGCGAGATAATCCTCAATCTGTTTTTGCACCGATCGAAGCTGTCTGTCCACCATGTCGGAGAAGATTGGTGCGTTCTCGTCGACGCCGGCAAACATCCACAAGTTTTGGTTACCCCAGCCAGGACAGTATGTTTGCAACAGTTCATCTTCGGCGGACACGCAAAATATCGTGCTTCCTGGATCGCCCTGACGCCCCGCACGCCCGCGAAGCTGATTGTCAACGCGACGACTGTCATGAATGGACGTGCCAATGACTTGAAGTCCGCCGACCTTGCGCACGACTTCGCGCTCGGCTTCGCACTGCGCTTGGCAGTCTCGCAAAACGGCATACGCCGCCGTGTAGATGGATTTTATGAGCACTTCGACATCGTTCGGGAACGTTGGATCAATGTCTCTGCGGAGCCACTCTTCGGCTTGGACGAGCGCATCAACGAAGAGCTTGTCGGCTTGCTCCGCATCCAGAGACCCGGCGGTCATCACGGACGCTCGCGCCACGAGCTCAGCCTGCTGCAGCGCTTGCTCGGTTATCGGTGATAGGTTCACGTGCATGAGTACAGCCGCTTCGTCCACCTCGCCGTTCTCTACCAAGTACGGCCACAACTTATCCTTGAGAGCGCGATTGGCGAGGCCGTGCGCGCTGCCACCGAGTAAAATGTCCGTCCCACGACCAGCCATGTTTGTGGAGATGGTCACCGCATACTGTCTACCAGCCTGCGAAACAATCTCCGCTTCGCGTGCCGCGTACTGCGGACGCGCATTTAGTAACTCGTGCGGAATGCCCTCAATCTTTCTCCCATCCGGTGTTTCCCACACGTAAGCGTCGAGAATCGCGCTCAAGAGCTCCGAGTTCTCCACTGAAGTCGTACCCACGAGTACGGGTCGCCCGTCCAAGTGACAGTTGAGAATCAAATCCGCAACGGCGTACCACCGCGGCGAACTCTTCAAGAACAACGCCGTCGGAGAATCGATCCGAAGGTTGGGTTTATTCGTCGGTACGCTTGCGACGCCGAGGCCATACGTCGTGTAAAACTCTTCTGACTCCGTCGCCGCAGTGCCTGTCATACCACTCAGTTTCTTGTAGAGCTTGAACAGGCACTGGTAGGAAATAGAAGCGATGATGGAATTTTCTCCGTTTATCTCGACACCCTCCTTCGCCTCGACCGCTTGGTGAAGATTGTCGTTCCATCTTCGATTCGGCTGCACGCGACCGGTGGACGGGTCGACGATGATGACTTTACCATCTCGCACGATGTAGTCAACATCCTTGATGAACAGAGCCTTCGCCTTCACGGCGAGCAACACATACTTTCCCATTGGATTCTGAGCGTCCCATAGATCGTCTACTTGTAGCATCATCTCTGCTCGTGACATGCCCTCATCCGTGAGCTCGGCCGATTTCTCCTTCAAGACAACTTTGAAATCTCGTCCCACAATCAGGTGTTCGGCAACTTTCGCGGCTGTTCTGTACATGTCGTCGTCGTTCACCTCGCCCACGCCCGTGATTAGCAACGGATTTCGTCCCTCATCGATCAACACGCTGTCGACTTCGTCCACGATGGCAAAGTTGAACGGACGCATGAGCACCACCATGTCGTCGGCCGCGTTTGCCATGTTGTCGCGCAAGTAATCGAAACCTATCTCCGTGTTCGTCACGTACGTGATGTCGCACGCGTACGCCAACTGTCGCTCTGCAGGTTCCATGTCGCTCTGAATCACCCCCACGGTCAGCCCTAAGAATCTATATATGCGTCCCATCTCTGCCGCGTCTCGAGCCGCGAGGTAATCGTTCACTGTTACTACGTGCACCCCTTTCCCCTCCAACGCGTTCAAATACGCTGGCAACGTCGCCACGAGCGTCTTACCCTCCCCGGTGCTCATTTCTGCGACCCATCCATCGTGCAAAAGCGCGCCGCCGATCAACTGCACGTCAAAGTGCGTCAAACCCAGCTCGCGCTTTGACGCCTCTCGAACCGTCGCGAATGCCTCCACGAGCACGTCGTCCAGCGTCTCACCCTTTTTCAGCCGCTCCCGAAACTCCGCAGTTCTCATTCGTAACTCGTCATCGCTCAGAGCTTCCATCGTCGCGTCGAGCGCTCTGATCGGTTCCACGACGCGTCTTCGAAGCGTCGCCATGAGCGCGTCGTCGCCTTCGCCCGCCCTGGCAAACTCGAACCTGCGCGCCGCCGTCACCGCCCGCGATGTCGACGAGCGTCGCGAATCACCTCTGGTCGTGTCGTCGTCGTCCGACAGAGCGAGTTCATCGTCGTCGAAGGACGTGATCGACGTCAGGGCGCGCGGGCGAAAAGAACGTGAGTTTTGACGCATCTTTTCGTTTTTTTCGTTCGCTCTGTAGCGACGCGACGGTGTGACACGTGCGCGGTGAGCGCCGGACGAGAGAGTGGTCCACATTGCGCGCGACATAGATCGGTGACGCGTGAGATGATGCGCGCAGCGCTGTGAGGTAGTGTGTCTCATTTCGTTGGCGTCAGCAAGCCACAAGACACGCGACGAGTGACGATGCGAGTGGCGTTTGAGTGTGTTCGCTAAATTATTCGTACATAACATCTATCTATTGCTGTGAGTCAGGATCCGGTTCATCGTCGAGCGCGCCTGCGAGCCACTCGCGGAGCTCGGCGTCGCGTCGGTCGTTTCGGAAATCCGCCCACTTCGAGCCGTCGTCGTTTATTTGCAGTTTTTGTCGACGCTTACGCTCGACCTCCGCTCGAGTGCGCTCCTTCTTTGCGTCACTCTTCAAGTTGAGCTGTTTTTTCAGCATCCGCGCGCGCTGTATGCTCGCTTCGTCGTCCTCTTTTCGCAACGAATCAAGCTGTCGCTTAAATATCGCCTCCGTCCGCTCGATCACTGCTCTCTGCTTTTCGATGCGAACAAGCCCCATGTCGCACCCTTTGGCCTCACATGGAATCTGTCCGCTCCCCTCGCACTTCACGCACGTCGCCCCGCCCTTTGGCCTCGCGACTGCCCCACCAGGTTGATCGACGTCTCCGACCCACTCGAAGTCGTCCCGCTGTTTCCATCCCGAGCTCCACTCCATACGGTCCTTCAAGAACGTCACCGGGATGTCCACCGTGACCGTTATATCGCACGTCGCCCTTAAAGTGAGCGTTTTCGCCTTGGGTGACGCCCCTATGCACTCGAAGTGTCGCCAACCGCGTGTTCGTCGATGCGCTGTCCACTTCGTCCCCACCGCGTTCTTCATGTCGACGACGTTCTTCGCGTGAAATCCCCCGGGTGGGAGGTAGCCCGCGCCCTTGCACTGCACGCACGCGTACGAGCCGGTGTCGCGGCACTTGGTGCACGACGGGGTGTCGCTCGGGGCGGATGCGGCGGCGCGCGCGAGACACGCAGGAGGCACAATCGGCCGTTCTTTTCGTCGCGTCCTCGATGCAAAGGACGACGACGCGAAAGATGACGACGCTAAGCGTTGCGTGACGAGCGTCATCATCGCTCACGTGCGGCGTAGAGACGCGAACGCCGAAATGTAACGTCACGTGCGTTGCAAGCTCCAGAAGATGAGAACGTTGAGTGGCAGCGACGCGTTACGATGAGACATGCGAGCATCCCCGCCCGAACACGCGGTAAAGATTGCGAATAAAAACGCTTGGTACATAGCCATCGATATCGGGCTGAACCCTTCGAAGGCGGCGGGATATCGATCGGTGAACGTCCTCTCGATGACGACACCGATGCAATTTACGATGAAGAAGACCCACCATGCGGTGTCGCGTATACCGTGGAACAATAGAGAGAAACCCATAACGATGACAACCGATAGCGTGTTCGAGCCGGATGGCCGATGGATGTAGTGCACGTAGAGTTCGTGCAAGCTGGTGTGGAAAGTGCGCCAAAAGTTGGTGAACGAAGTCCCGGATGAAGTCCATGGCACGCTGACGTCCCTGGGAGAAACTTGCCCGTCAAAAACGGCGAGCGCGTGATTAAAGTTAAATATGATCGTCGGCGACGCCCAGATCGCCGTCGTATGCGTCCACGCGTGTACCATGTTGGTGAAGAGACCGTCGTCCGGTGCCATCATTGAGGAATAGTACGTTCGAGTCGCGTAGTCTAACATCGCGTACCACGCGAAGCAATCGGCGAGTTCTCGAAGCGCATAACCGAACCGCCTTTTGTCGCCAGCGCACGTGTGCCGTTCGAACTCACGATAAAATACGATTGGCCCGCACTGTCTGAGCGGAGGATACATGACGTACCGCAATGCCACGCCCAGAGACGGCGCCGCGACGCCTTCGACGACGTCGATTCCGTACGACAACATTCGCAAGACGTCGTAGCGAAACGCTCGATACGCGTTGAAAGTCGTGCGCATGATCCCAGTCGCGACTGAAGGCGATGTCGCTGACCTTTCGAGCTCATCAATGACTATAAACAGAATCACGGACACGACGAAGACGTACGCTCGCTTTCGTTTTACGGAATACGTCGCTGATCGAGCGACTTCGCAACTCAACGCGAACGCCGTCACAACAGCCACTAACCCAATCGTGCACCACACGCCGTGCGTCGCGCAAGCGACGACGATACACGCGACCGTCGCCAAGCGCTTCGACATCCGCTTCGATACCTCTTAGATGGACGCTGCGAACGACGCTCACCACTCCGGACGACGCGGCTGCACTTCGCGAGCAGCTGCGGATGGGCTCGTTGACCACGGTGGAGTACTCGAGACGAGCCCCGAGAGTGCCGAACATGCACATTGCGATGTGGTCTTCCGATGATAAGCGTGTCATCGCATCAATGGGTGATCAAACCATTCGCGTGTGGAACTCAGCTACGGGAGAGTTGCTTCACATCATGCGAGAACATAGCGCGGCGACGTATGTTCTTCATGCGAACCCCGTAGACTCTAGGCTCGTCATGAGCGCGAGTTACGATGGAAAAGCGGTGATCTGGGATATCATCGAGGGAGTGGCTCTGCGTGTGTTCGACGGCTCACACTACAACTCAAAGCTCGTGGATGGAAATTGGCACCCAGACGGCACGTCAATTGTCGTGTCCGACCTCGCCGGTCAATTTTCGGTGTTCGGCACTGGCGACAGCGTGCGGTTCTTACGCACGAAGTACGAGCAGTTCTTCCAGACAGAGTTCATGGGAGATGATTTACTCGGGCGAAGCGAAGGTGGGCACCTGATCGAGCTCGCAACTGGCATGCTGCTCCACGAGGCGTTTCCACGTAATTTACTTTGCGATTCTATGGGCGACCCATATCCAGACCCTTACCAGTCTGCGTATCTGTCCGGTACCGTAGGTGCATATCTGCCCACGGCCGATGCAAACATGATGGATGTCACCGTGCAAGTGCCAACGCTCGCCGAGCTGGCGCCGATGGACGTACAAGGTCCATGGACGATGCCTGAACTGCCAGATCCAGCGCAGGAGATTGTGTACCGATCTGATGACGATGATGACCCCGTCGTCGAAGAGGAGGATGACGATGATTTCGAAGAACCGGAGGATGACGACGATGAAGATGAAGACGAGTCGAGCGACGATGAGCGGCAGAGGCGATCGGCGCGAAGACGAAATAGAAGAGTACGTTCCCAGCGTCGTTCACTGCGTTTCGACTCGGATGAGTCCGAAGAGTCAGAATCAGAGGATCTGGCGACGAGACGTAGCGAGCGAGCGCATCGTCGCCCCCAGCGTCTGGGCGTTGAAGAGTACGATTCTGATGAGCAAGAGGAAAGTCCAAGAATCACGCGTCTGCGCCGACGTGAAATGAGGGCACTCGGGATCGAATCCGAAGAAGAAGAAGAATCCGAGGAGGAAGAAAAGCCGGCAAAACGACAGAAGAAAGCCGTGACTTCTCGACACGATATTCGTTTACACGAATCTTACTCTTGGTTTTGCGCAGAACAACTCACGATTGGGAGCTACGTCCCTCAACTTGGTGATAAAGTCGTGTACATCGCGCAAGGTCACTATGAGAGGATGCAGGAACACGGCAAGGACTGGCACGATGAAGCGCCCTGGCAGACGCTCACTCAGATGCGATTCGTTGAACCGTGCGTCGTATCGTCTCTGCGTTACATCATCTCAGACGACGGTACGTACGAAACGCACGGTCTTCTCGAGTTGAAACTTATCGATCCTTCGTGCGGCAACTACGGGAAAGAATTTTTGATCGATTTGCACAGGAGTGATGCGCCTGATTTTTTGGTTCCGCTTTCGCGTTACCGCGAGGCCGAGAAATGCGCTTGGAAAAAAGGTGACTTGTGCGCCGCGCTGTGGGATGAGATGGGCGCGTCAACGCCTTGGTACGGAATGATCGAGAAGGCGCGAAGACACGAAGGTGAATGGGCTGGATCTCCTTGGAACACTTTGTGTGTCCAGTACTTCAACGTGCAGAACGAAGACGATCGATACATGGACCACAGTTTTTGGGAGCTTTACAATGATGAGTTGATGCGAAAGGAACACGCAAAGCTTTTGTCCGGCGCATCCACGTCCCGCGGACCACAGAAAACACCGTTCTCAAACGTCGATGAGAGTTCGCCGTCGCTCACCCCAGGTGTGACGAAAGAGCTGCTCAGCCGCGTGCTAAGATTGGCGCGAAACGACAGATTCGAGGCCTTTGTGAACGTCATCGGTCCGAATGAAAAATTTACTCGCGCAGACGGTACGGTGACGAACTACTGTTCGTTGGTGCCAGTCCCAATGGCGTTGAACCTCATCATCAATCGTTTGAAGAACTCTTACTACCGGCAGATTGATGGCTTTCGATCAGACGTCGAGCTTATTCGCGTCAACGCCGAGATCTTCCACGGAGAGGGGAGTGTCTTCGCCAACTTCGCCGCTGAGCTCGAGGACGATCTCCTGGATGACTTACCGTCGACGGATCAATCCGAGCCGGATATCGACGGCATGAAAGTGTTCCCGACCATCACGAAAGCGTCTGCGCCTGCGGAGAGTGAACTTCCGAACGGTGGACGCGTGAGCCTGCGCGTGAAGATGCGACGAGGATAATGAACTAATGAAACATTGTATTAACACAACTAGCCTACCGTAGCAAAGAAGCTTAACCGTCGCGCGGTCTGAAGCCAAACTTTTTGCGTTCGTAAAACAAATCCGTGCGCGCCGCCCCAAGGTTGATAATCTTCGGACACCCGTCCCTGTCCTTCTCCAAGATCGTGCAACCCTTACAATAATATGCATCGCTCACGCCGACGCCCCCGCATATCACACACCGCCCCTGATTCGTCCCGTAATTACACTCGTCGCACACCCTGACGAGCGTCGCCGGGCGCACGTGCGAGTCACAAATCACGCACTTCCCATCGCACTTCTCGCACAATCTCCCGATCGCGATCCCGGGCATCTTCCGGCACATGATCAAATCCGGATGATGCTTCGACTGCGCGCGCGCGTGCGTCGAATCATCGTCGTCAGTCGTTCGTCGTCGCGCGTTTCTCTCGGAGCCGCCGCGTCGAACCTCACGAACGTTTTCCCTTCGTTCTCGCTCGCGCGTCGTCGCCCTCACTCGCGCTCGCGCGTCGCCGACGGCATCACGTGCGTCGTCGTCACCGTGCGCGCGCGTCGTCGAAGCGCACCATGATGAGTTCGCGCGCGTCGCTCTTTGAAGTCACAATTCTTTGTTCGTCGTCTTCCTCGGTGTTTCCCCCGACAAACCACGCCGGGCGTCATGCGCGCGATCGCGTCGTCGCCGGCGACGCGACGCGATCGATGCGCGAGACGTGGTGCCGCGTCGACGCGATCGCGACGCGGGCGAACGGTGGCGAGACGAGAGGGACGAGAGAGCGATTGCGTTGGCCCATCGACAGCTGACGACGAGGATACAGCGACGATGGGAACGATGGCGACGACACGCCGAGCGATCGGACGCGGGGTGATGACGAGTGCGATCGCGTGGACGGTTGGACCGAGCGCGCGCGCGATCGGGGCGGAGATGACGTCGGAAGAGTGGATGAAGCGCGCGGGCGAGACGTTCGGCGACGTGAAGCTCGAGCCGTACGTGGACGTCGAGAACGGCTACGCGCTGCTCGTGCCGGAGGGATGGGTGAAGGATCTTCCGAACGGGATTAGTGAGATTGAGTTTCATCCATTGAGCGAGTACGGGGGGCGGCGATTCAAGGTGCAGGTGCGACCGTACGGGAGGACGAGGTCGAATCGAGTGGACGAGCTCGAGGACGCGGAGTACGCGAGCCCGAGGGCGTACGCGGAGAGCGTGGCGCGAAAGTACGCGCCGCTAGAGGGTGAGGGGAGCACTAATCGCGGACAGGCGGTGAGCAAGGTGCTGAGCTCGAGGATGAGCGACGATGGGCGATTTTATTTCTTCGAGTACTCCACCGAGTCGATGCTGCCGTTGCACTTTTGGGGCGTCATCGCGCTGGGTCCGGGGCCAGTGGGAAGCGCTCGTAAGCTCGGTAGGAAAGATTTGATCGCGCTCACGTGCCAGATGCCGGAAGATAAGGGACCGGAGGCGGCGGCTCTATTGGAGCATATCGTCACGACGTTTCGCATCTTGGACGATGTTTGATAAACATCTCGCCACGCGAAAGAATCACTATTGGCTGTAATTTACATTCATCGCGATCGCATTACTAGTCGTCGGACTCGGAGGCGCTAGCGTCGTCGTCGACTTCCAACAGCTCGAGGCAAATGCCGAGCGTTCTCGCCTTGTCGCGCAGACGCATGACAAAGCTATCAATCCTCATCTTCTCCCTGGCAAAACGTCGTCGAGCCATGTCGCTCGCCTTAATTTCGGCTTTAAGCTCGTTTTGACTCTCGATCAGCCGCTCTCGGAGGGCTGATACGAGATCACCGTTTCTCAAATGCTTTATTCTCGCCTCCAATGCTAACTCTGTCGCGACGGCGCTCTCGGCGCTCTCGCGACACCTCTGCAACTCCTCGTTTGCCTTCGTCAACTCTACGCGCAGCCGCTCACGACCGACACTCTCGTGGTGTAAAGAGATCATGCACTCGCGCAGCGCCGCGCGCGCCTCGTTCTCCCTCGCTTCCGCGCTTTCGGCGCAGCGCCGCAAATCCTCGTTCGCCGCGCGCGTCTTTGCCAGCGCCGCGCGCAAAGACTCGTTCTCCGCTCGCACGCTCGCCAACGTTTCCGACGCCGCTGTCAACGCACCGCTCGCGTTCTGCGTCCGATCCACCTCTTCCATCTCTCGCGTCGCGCGTCCCGCGTCCCGCGTCTCGCGCGCTCCGACCGCTCGCGCGCTCGGCGCCGCTTCAACCCCAACTTTCCCACGTTCCGTCCCACCGCCGTACTCCGGCAAGAGTTCCCGGGCCAATTCCATCAGCGCATCGCTCGTGACGGCCTCTGTTTTCTTCTCTCGGTGTCCTTCGCTCGCGCGTCGCTCGAGCGCGCGCGCGAACGCGTCGACGTCCACGCCAACCTGCGCTCCCGTTTTCGGATCGCGCTCGCCCGTCGACGCGTCGCGAATCATCGCCGTGATGTCATCGAACGTCACCACGTCCGCGCCGACGATCGCGCGCGTCGCCCTGCGCGCGTCGAAGGGCGTGACCACTCGAGCGTTTCCTAACGACTTTTGCAGCGATAGCCTCGTGGGCGTCTGCGAGGACGTTCCGGGGACGGCGCGCGCGCGCGGTGGGACGTTCTCGTCGCTCTCGAGCATGGTGCTCGACGATGGGGCGAGTGGTATCGATGCGAGCGCGAAGAAGTGACGCGAGTGGTTTGAGGAGGTGTGTTTTCATCCGTCTAACGGTACGCGTCGCTCAATCCTTGTAGCGCTTGCGGTTTCGCGGACGACGGCTCACTCTGAAGGCATCGGTGCGCTTATTGTTACGCGTGCGATGACCCTTGGTGTGCACGCCCCACGGAGTGACGCTCGGACGGCCGCCCGAGGTTCGGCCCTCGCCGCCGCCGTGCGGGTGATCGATGGGGTTCATCGCCACGCCGCGCGTCGTTGGACGAATGCCTCGCCATCGATTCGCCCCAGCCTTGCCGATGTTCCGATTCTGATGCCCGCGGTTCGAGAGCATCCCGATCGTCGCCATGCAGTTCTCCAACACCAAGCGCTGTTCGCCCGAGGGAAGGCGAACGACGCAATAGCCGCCGTCGTCCGCCTTCTTCACCAACGTCGCCGCGGACCCGGCGCTTCGACACAGCTGCCCGCCTCGACCCGGAACGAGCTCGATGTTATGAATCGTCGTTTGCAACGGGATATTCTTCAACGGCAACGCGTTCCCAACCTTGATATCGCTCTCCGGCCCGCTCTCGAGCGCGTCCCCCGGCGTCGACCCGTGCGGCGCCAACACGTACCTCGACGCGTTCCCTCCCTCGTAATCCACCAGCGCGATGTGCGCCGAGCGATTCGGATCGTACTCCAACCGTCGAATCGTCCCTCGCACCCCGGTGAGATCGCGTTTAAAATCAATCACCCGGTACAAACGCTTGTGTCCGCCGCCCTTGTGCCACACCGTGATCCTCCCCGCGTTATTCCGCCCACCTCGCTTCCGCAACCCAACCGTCAATCGTTTCAGCGGCCGTCCACGCCACAGCATCGATCGAGACGTCGTGATCCGTCCCCGCTGTCCCGGCGACGTGGGTTTATACGCCTTCATCGTCTCTCCGACCGCGCGCGTCGCGTACGCCCGCGTCCCGTCCCACGCCGTCGCCCCCGTCCCCGGCACCGCCCTCGACATCGCGCGCGACATCATCGTCCTCGCCGGTCTCCGCGCCGCGCGCGCGACGCCGGCGAACGCCCGGGCGAGACGCACGGCGTCCATCTCGATCGCCGTCGCCGCCATCCCTCGAATCCCATCGACGTGACCTCCGTCCGCGCCCACCGCGCGCACGAGCGCGCGCGCGCACGTCGTCGCCCCGCGCGCGAGCGCCCGCATCGCGCGCGCGTGAGCCGTCGCGGCGTCGCGGTGTGCGTCGCGACAGAGCGCGACGGGCATCGGTGGAGAATGATAAACGTCGACGCCCTCGCCGCGTGGCTCGACCTCGCGCGATGCCCGCGCGCGCTCGAGGGGGCGTGGACCGAGGACAGGGCGGACCCGCGACGGCGCTCGCTGTGTCCGCTCGTCACCGCGCTGGGGGTGCCGAGAATTGTGTGTCCATTGATCGATGCGGTGAAGACGGATGTTTTCATTACGTGCGACGACGACGGCGGTGGGATGACGGTGATCGATCGGACGAACGTGAGCGGGGCGAACGTCACGGCGGTGCGGTTCGATGGGACGGAGCGCGAGCGGACGACGCGGGGGGGGAGGAAGAGTTTCATGCTGAGCGGCGACGCGCGGGCGAGCGCGGGGAGCGCGACGGTGCGGTGCCGGTTGCATCGAAGAGGCGATGGATGGGAGACGCTGCAGGTGCGGGAGATTGTGGATGGGAAACTGCGAGAGCGGAACGTGTTGAAACGGCCGGGGATGGAGGATGTGGTCGTGGATAGGTACTTTAAAAGGAAGGAGTAGCGTCGGCGGCGCGTCGGCGTCATCGTTCGAGTAATACAATCGCTTCGACGTGCGCGGTGTGCGGGAAGAGATCCAACGCGATGGCTTTGACGGGTGCGAAGGGCGCGCCACCGCCGTTGCCGTCGTATCCCTGAGGCGCGCACAGGTCGATGACGTTCTTGGCCATCGTCGACGAGTTGCACGAGACGTACACGAGACGCTTGAGACGCTTCTCTCGTCGCAAGGCGGTGAGGACGCTTCTATGCAAACCGCCGCGAGGAGGGTCGACTATGGCGACGACGTCGTCGAACTCGTACTCATTTTCGTCGATGATGGTCGTCACCGCGGCTTGTATCGCGGCCTCGTCGTCCGAGCCGTCGCTCAGTTCGGGGTCGTTCGACGTCGCTTTGCGCTTGGTGCCTATTTTCGGCGCGTCAACGACTGGCCTGATGCGCGAATTGTACTCCCGCAACACCTTTGGGATGACGACCTCGGCTTTACCGGCGAGCCAATCGGTGTTCGTCACGCCGTTGAGCTGCGCGTTCACGAACGCGTCCTTGATGGACTCCTCCACGATGTCGACGCCTACGACTTTTTTGACGTTTCCGGCGAGCGTCATTCCAATCGTCCCGGTACCGCAGCACACGTCCAAGAGCAAGCTCTTACCATTCGGACTCGCCCATTCGCCCGCGAGACGATACAGCGCCTCCGCGGCGAGCGTGTTCACTTGAAAGAACGCCGTCGCTGACAGAGAGAACTCCAATCCACACATTCGCTCGTGGATGACGTCGCTCGATTTCTCGCTCGTCTCAAACGTCCTCATGTCTCGTATCTCCGCGTCGTCCGGAGCGACGTTTGACACGCCGTCGTAAAACTGCACGACTATGACTTTGACGTTGATCGGCGGCGTCGCCTTCGCCGCGGCTTCTAACACGGCGTCGCGAGCTCCGTCGCACTCCTCTCGGATTTGTTCCTCTGTGTAACCGCTTCGTCGCACTTGAAACATAACCATGACTTCAGATTTTTCATCCTTCGTCGTCGGCGCGGGAAGAGACGCTTCTTCATCCGGATACTCGAACGGTTCGACGTTTTCCGTCTCCGCGGGCTCACCGTTCTCTCCCGTCGGCGGCTTCGGAGGACCCGTTCCCGGACGCAACCAGTGCCTCCATCCGTGCTCGCTCGAGGGCGCCGTGCCACCTTCTCTGCACAGGAACAACCGCCAAAATCCCGTGGCTGTGCGTTTATCGTACACGGGCAATCCCTCACCAGCCGTCGCGCGCTCGCGTAGGTACGTCTGCGTCGCATCTCCCAGATATTTCGCCGTCTCGCTAATGTTCCTGCATCCGACGGGCGGCGCGACGGCGACGACGCCGTCTCGGAACGACCCAACGTTGAACCCGCACGTGATCTCCCCGTCGGCGCTCGGCCCGATCGTGAACTCACTCTTATTTCTGTATCCATCCAACACCGGCGAGCGCACGATGCCCTCGATCTCGCAGCACAGCTTATCTCGCCCGAGCGCGTCCCGCAGCCAATCGCACGTCGCCGCCATACCAGCCTTCCTCGCCTTATCACACGCGTTTCGCACCCCCCGCGTGATCTCCCGCAGCGATTCCGCGACGATTTCTTTCTTCGCGCACAACTGTTCCCCGTACGACGCGCGCCACATCGGCGTGATCACGTCCCGAATGTCCCGTCTCGCCCGCGCGTTCGCCCGCGCCACCACGTCCCGCCCGTCCTCCGCGTCGCCGTCCTCGCCCACCACCCCACCTCGTCCGCGCGTCATCGCCTCGCGCACGCGCACCCGCCCCCCACCCCCGATCATCGCGTTCTCCATCGCGCGTTGTCCCGCCAATCGATCGCGGACGTCGCCGAACGTGACGAAGCCGTACCCGCGTCCCCGTCGCGTCCGCGCGCTCGCGCGCCGCACCCCGAGCCCATCGAGCCACCGCGCGAACGCGTCGTCGTCCCACCGCTCGCGGACGCCCAAGACGTGAACGGTGCCCCCGCTCGCGCCCGGGACG